ACATTTCATCTGAATTATTCTTTTTTATGATATAATAGACTAAAATTCTTGGTCATTACCAAATAATCCAGTTTTCTTTTCATCTTCTGGACTTATTCAAGTTTGTTTCTTTTCTGCCTTAATTATAGGCAAATCTAAGATATGAGACTATAAACCAATAAGAAAGACACCCAGGGTCCACAGTATTCAGAACCCTTTTTCCTAAACTACAAAGATAAGAGAAGTTATCTGTCTGAGACATCAACTAGGATCTGGGCTTTTCTAATCTCAATGATTTTTTACTGTAAAGGATCATATTCCATAACCTGTTCTCATCTCTGGTTCGAAAACCCAAGCCCCACTGTTCACAAAGCATAAATCCATTTGAGTATTTTTTAAGTAACACGATGATTACTGCATGATTTAAACTTAAGACAAAAGATCACAAATAGCATCTTCCAAATTGTTTTGCACTATATCTTCTAAAACTGGGTTTTTACATTCAAACACTGACCCAGTCATTATATAATGCTAGCAACTAAGAGTATAGAATTTTTACTTATCTGGTCAGAAATGCACGTTACTTAATTTGTAAACTACAAAAATAGAATGTTTACAATGAAGGCTAACTACTGAAAATGGCAACAAGATGCAATGAGCTTGATTCTTCACAGACACTATGCAAAGAAAGACACTGGTGATTTTTACATTATAAATACCTGATCATTGATGAGCATCTGTTCAATCTCTTCCTCACCTAAATTTTGCTGCATTATGAAGCGTAAGCATTCAAAAAAAGCAGATATTACTGCTGAGCACTCTGAAAAGCTGGTTTTTGTTCTCTCTGTTGACAGCCTAAAAAATAATAAATAACTGTGGATTACTCTTCATGAAGAACAAAACAAAATGCAGAATCACCAAAATAAAGACATCGAAAAGGCATCATACCAGAAGAAGAGGATTTTTTAAAATATACTCTTAAACTAAAAACTAAGAACAACCAACCAAAATACATACAGCCCAATGAGAACATGAACTTGATAAACTATGGAAAAAATCATTTTCAAAAATGTACCAGTGGCTAGGCATGGTGGCTCATTCCTGTAATGTCAGCACTTTGAGAGGCCAAAGTGGGAGATCACTCAGGCTTGGGAGCTTGAGACCAGCCTGGGCAACATAAGATCTCATCTCTATTTTTTAAAAAAAAGTAT